TTAGAAACACTATCCAACTAAATAAAAAATTAAAAAACAAATTATTTAAACGAAACTTGGTTTTTGTTTGTTTCAAAAAGTATTAAATATTATTAATAACATTATAAATGCTATGTTTTTATTCTAATAATTACAGTAGGAACTAAATTGCCGTCTAAATAATAACCTATAGCCTCTAATGTTTATTTCACGTCTACGCGTGGCTTACCTTTGACCATATGAACTACAAATTCAATAAAGAAGTCTAGTTAGGTAATGAGAATCAGGGTTTAGAATAATATACATATAAAGCAGTAGGGTTAAAGTTACAGATCTTTATTTTGCAGCTTCCGGCTTAAGGCTTTCATACTGAAAATCGTTAAATGAAGATAAATGCTTGAGTTAAGTTAGAATAAGTATAGTTGTTAAAACACTGAAACAGAGTTCAAAATCTAAACTTTGAACGAAGTTGAACACTCAAATGGTCGGGGCATCTCATTTGTTCAAGTTTCACATAAAGAAGTTTGGGATAGCGATTAGACTATGTTCCTACTGTTATTACATTTTTCTTTTATACCTTTTTAACGATTGAAGCGATACCACTCATTTTCGTTGTTTATTTATAAGTATATTTTATACTTAATTTGTCTGAACGATCAATTTCTTCACTGCAAAACCTTTTTGTGTGAAATTACTGATTTAATATGCATACCGGGTTAACCCATTTGCTTAGCATTTAGCCCCAATTTATATATCTGTTTTTTTTTCTCGAATTTTTGGGATGCTGCCTGTTGATGTTTTTATTGGCTGACTTGCACAAGTTTGCAAAAAAAAAAAAATTGACGGAAAAAAAAAAGTTACAACTATACGAAAATAAAATGGTTTGAAAAAAATTGGCTCTGTCCATTGTCTTGCTCAAGCATAAAGTTTATGGCACTCAAAACTGGCTTGCTCGCTTACATTTCGATAGTTTTCGGTTTGAAACATTCGCTTCCATGCGAAACAAAAGAGGGCAAATCGAAGTTCAAGTTTCTCATCCCATATCATCTTTTATCTGGCACATGCTGCTTCGACTTTTGCTTGTTTCAGCTTCAGCCATTGCCTTTTAACATATTTTTCGTGTTCAAGGCCGTGCGCTGGCGCTTTCTTTTACAATAGGCGACCTTGACGCTGCGACTGCGCAAGCGTCTTGGTACTCGCTCTTGGCCAGCTCGAAGTCGGAGGTTCGGGGAGCGGGCCAAGTGGAGAGGTGGTGGCTCTGGAGTTTGCACGCCGCGGTCGTGCTGACGTTTGTTATCACAGAGAGGCAGTCGGTCAGCCGACAAACTAACCCACTTAGGGTATGTTGAACGGCCGCTGACCACCATCTTCTCTGCCCACTCTTCGTCTGCTCACCTGCCGTCAGTCTTGGCCCTCTCTGACGGATCGAGTTTTTGTAATCGGACCGCACAAATGGCAACTTGTACGAAAAATGTTTAGTGTCAACCAATTAGCTGGTTGTGCAATTACTGATCCTAAACCTAAATCCTGCGGTAGCTAATCGTTCGAGTTTTTAATAAATAAAAAACTTTAAAAAACTCAGTGCAAAATAATTACACTTAGGCTGATCATGAAAATGTATTCTTTAATCCTTTTTTGGTTTTAAAGAATGATTGAAATTTTATTTATTTTATTATTTAGTTATTACGTCATACTTTTTGTTAATTTTTATATTACCAACAATTTTATAAGTTTAAAAATGATTTTACCGACAAGCGTATTTGTATTTGCCAGCTAAAACAGACTCACATTTTAATATTATTTTTATTTTAATTACCTCAATTAAATGTCGTGTAGATCAAGCAAAAACAACAAAAAATTGAGTTACATTCCCTTAGATCATCAAACACGTTTTCCGTAATTACGATATTAATCGCTTATTACAATAATTATAACGTCTAATTAAAAACGTTGCTACATTTTTGTTTTTGCGAAATGCAGTTCATGGAATAGATTAGATATTTAAAACCCGGTTCTTTCTAAAAATTGAATTATAGTATCGTTTCTGCTTACATTAACAGGTGATTTTTTTTAAACAAGAAGTAATAATTTTAAACCATATTTTTTAAACCTTTTATTTAAATCTCGTTTTAACCAGCTTACTATGGAGCAAGTAAAAAATTAAGACAATCTGGCAACACTTACAAGGCTTTTAAACTTTTTTATTATTTAAAATATAAGCTTTCCAGCTGAGCCGCTCTGAAAGCTTTAATGGAAACTCCCTTAAAGGAAAACATCAGTTTAAAGTGCTGTTCATATTTGTGTAAAGACGGATGAGCCCGTGATGACTCATCTTGTTTACAAATTAATCTTAATTAGCATAAAATCCATATTGTTTTAGCTTAAGCTTAAGTTAAGCTTATTGCGCTGCGAAATTTGCTTGAAAAAAAGTAAGCAAAATGTTGCGTGCTTGCTGCGATATGTTGCGGCAACAAAACGAAAACAACTTCACTTAGCAACACTTAATGAGTCTCGATTAGTTTAAATGAAATGAAGCTGTGGCTTTTTATCGACACCGCAGACAGGAAAAGGCAAGTAACTTAAGCTGGATAGCATTTATTTAATTGAGCTTTATTATCATGTCATTTGTATCAAGGGAGATTAAAATTAAAACCAATAAATTTTTCTTAGATCTTAACTATTACACAAAATACAGAATATACACAACCACAATATAGTAAATTTTAAACTTTAAAAGTCGCCATTAAAATTTAATATTTTTTAAACTACAATTTTTTAATATATTTTTAACTTACAATTTTATTAAATGTTCTTGAAGAACAAAATAGTGCGGATTTCTTGTTTTATAGGGGTTTTTTTTTATTATCAGTGTAGCCTTCTGATGAGATCCCTGAACGTTACATAAATGATTATTTAAATCAACATGCTATTAAGTGGGGACAGATGTCTAAAAGGGCAATAGCAATTTATGAGTTAGAAATTGACACATTAAAAAATTCCATTTCAATAGTTCTAATTGACTTCGTTTAACTAACTGTACAAGTTTATTAATTACTTCGAAGCAATGCTTGCATTAACTTTGCCAACTTTAGAGATACTTTTTACTTTCCTTAATGGTACTGCAATTTCATTTGCAAACCTTTCTGATGAATTACATATTTAGTTTAAAAGACTTTGGGCCGGATTCGAGTCCGCATGTTAAGTTCAATCGATGGGTATTTTTGAAACAAATACATTGCTTTTAATATTTTGGCAAATCATGAAAAGTATGAGTGTATTTTTGGGAAGATATTAAGTAGAATATACAGGCCACATAACTCAAAAGCAATGCCGTGGAACCTGCAGGTGCTATAGCAATTGTATGAGACTTTTGCTTAAGAGTACCCAATATTGCGAATATCTAAAAGTTCAATTGTCTTTTCCTGTGCTATCTAAACTTTTCTAAAAAAAAACCCAAAATTATTAAATAAAGGGTGTGTTATAGCATAAAAAGCACAATTAAAACAGATAGAAACTAAAGAGTGTAGCGCAAAAATCACAAACTACCAGCTGAATTAAAAGCTTTTAAAATCGTTAGATGCTGACATTTCCCGGTTTAAAGGTTCAGTTTTCCAAATGTAGAGTACAAAGTAAATATTAGGTAAAAAGTTTGTAGGAGCATGTCAATATCATCCAGATTTTGATCTGCCCCAACACGGAGGATCGTTTCGCAGAACCCGTTAAAGAAAACCGGAACCGCAAAGTAAAATTCCATCACGTTCAGGCCCCTTGCTGTTGGCCGCAGGCTACGTTTACAGCCTTCAGATGACACGCCTTGAAAAACAAGACTCGACGTGAGTCAACTTATGAGAGACGCACAATATATTTATAGATCACTTTACTTAATAATATTTTATTTAAATTATCTTTGTTGTGTGGGCAATAACCGCTATCAAGTTCAGCAAAACGGATATGTTTTCGCAAAGCACTCAAGTCTCAAGACTCTTTTTGAAAGATCTAAACAAACAATTAGCTATTAACATTTTAAGCATTTCGAGCAACAATTACATTACCAACTTACTTAAGCTTAATGTGCAAATATTTTGAAAACTTTTTGCTTGTGTTTTCTTTGCTTAAAATCATGCATCAATGGAGAGCAGGAGATTTAAGGCGATACATTTTTAGACAGAGACGTGGCTGGACTTGAACAGATACAGATTGAACTTTCAACGTCTTGAAATAAATTTAATTTTTATGGGGTCGTTATAATAATATAATAGCATATTGTAATTACCATCTCAGGTATAAGGTTCTGTACCATTAAAAAGTGAATAATATAGAGGGAAAATTAAAAGACGGAAGCAAGATTATTGCCATAAAGGTTTTAAATTTTAGATTTAAGGGAACCACCACATTAGAATATTATTTAAATTAAAAAACCCCCCATCACTTTAACTCAATGACCAGATTTTAAAATGTTGGTCGGAAAAGGGTGAATTTTGGGTTCGCCTAAAGATCCACAGCTCAAAGTCTACGCCCCTGCTCGAGCCGGGTTCTCTATAGCTTCAATTTAATTATATTTATTGTTTCGTTTTTTTTTTGGACACACAAACAAATGTGCGTTTTGTCGGCTTGTTTTGGTAGCATCCATGTTTTGCCACAAGGTAATTATTTCGCATACTAAACTGTATTTTGTTTAGGGCATTTCTTTGTTGTTGCTTTCGGCCAACATCTTTGAACCGCAGGGCACTTTGTGTGTATTTTTTTTTTTGGAGCTAAAGCCAGAGGCTGGTGCTGCTATCAGACCGCTCTGTCATTTTTATGATTGTTAATGTCTCGGTCAACGCTTTTAAGTCAAGTTCTGAGCTCCCTTCCCAGTCCCCTGCGATCGTGTGAGGCCTGTTGTTGCTGGCTTTAATGGAAAGAAATGAGTTTGAGAGCCAGTTGCGAACAGAGTTGTGCGGGGATCCGGCCTGTGGATTCATGTACTTTGTGGCGGGCATTAAAAACGATCGACACATTTGCCTGTCGGCTGAGAACGCGTTCAGAAGTTCGTCGGTTGTGAGCTTGCGTGAATGGATAAGAACTGATACTGAAATTACAGAAGTAACTTCTGGGCTTGAGAAACTGAAATGGCTAATATTAATTATGTCTGGTGTCTGTGCTCATTATTCTTGGTGCTCTCGACTGTTGTATCTGCAAATCGGCGCATTCGGCGACAAAATCGATCTGATCGACTGTTGGCCGATATCGGAGTTCGTGCCCAGTCCTACAATCCTCGGGTGCCGGAGAATGGCATTCAGCAGTACACCGATATCGACCAGGATCTGCGGCACTTGTTCCTCAACACCAGGCAAACCACGCTGAGATGGGCTCTCAATAACATCGAGGCGCTGAGCAACCGAGGCAGACGTGAGGGCAAACTCCAGGTGCCGGTGTCCAAGAAAGTACCCTTCTTTTGCCCCACGAATAATACTCGATCGCCGAGTCCTCCCACCTCTATAGAACACCTCAGGCCTGGCGACATTGACATCATAGCTGCTTTTGGCGACTCCCTGTCTGCGGGCAATGGGATTCTGTCCAACAACGCCATCGATATGATCAACGAATTTCGGGGCCTCACTTTTTCGGGCGGCGGTCTAGCCAACTGGCGAAGGTTCGTGACTCTGCCCAACATCCTGAAGATCTTCAATCCCAAGCTGTATGGGTTTGCGGTGAGCAACAGTCTGGTGATCAACCATCGATCCTCCCGTCTGAACATTGCCGAGCCGATGATCATGTCGCGGGATCTGCCTTTTCAGGCCCGAGTGCTCATCGATCTGTTGCGACGCGATCCCAATGTTGACATGAAGCGCCATTGGAAGCTGCTCACGGTGTATGTGGGTAACAATGATATCTGCTCGGACCTCTGCCACTGGGACACTCCGCAGACCTTCCTCGACCAGCATGCCCGCGATCTGCGACAGGCCTTTCGGCTGCTGCGCGACCATGTGCCACGCCTACTGATCAACCTGATAGTTGTGCCCAACATACCGCTGGTGCTGAGCACCATGACCCAGGTGCCGCTGCAGTGCTTCGTGGTGCACCGTGTGGGGTGTCACTGCCTCATCAACGACCGCCTTAATCGTACCCAGTTTGCGGAACGCATGGAGACCCTGAATCGGTGGCAGAAACTGGACATGGAGATCGCCCGACTGCCCGAGTTCCATCGCCAGGACTTTGCCATCGTCGCCCATCCGATGCTGGCCAATGTGACGGCTCCCACGCTGCCCGATGGGAACACCGACTGGCGATTCTTCTCCCACGACTGCTTCCACTTCAGCCAGCGCGGCCATGCGATCATCTCGAACCTGCTGTGGAACAGCATGCTCCTGCCCGACGACCAGAAGCCGCGACCTTCGAAAGTGCCCGAGCTGTTCGAACGGGTCGTTTGCCCCACTGCCGAGCAGCCCTACTTTGTGGTCAGGCCAAGTTGAGGGGGTCTCGTCTCCCAAGATCGGGAGATCGGGTTGGGTTACCTGGTTAAGCTGTCTGGTGAACTTTTTAAAGTGGGTCCCCCCGGTCGGGTGTGCACTGAGGAAAATTAATAGAAGTTAAAGTAGATCGTAAGTTGAAGAACTGAACATTTCTGCAAGGAAAATTATACTTGCCAAAAGTTATGGACTCTAACTATGCCACTTCCATTTTCGCAAATTCCTTTGCGAATTTAATTGGATGGGGCAATGTAATTTTACGACTTTTTCTGAAGAGAAATGTGGGATTTTCTTTTGTAATAACATTTGATCCTGGGCTTCAGCGATTAAATATAAATATTTATTATCAAAATAAAAAGAATTTATAAAGTTTTAGGTAAGAAGTATTATTTAAGCAATATTCTTGCACGCGGTATATTCTCATCCTTATTTGCTAACTCCTTGTATTTACGGTTCTCAACTGAACTCAATTAATCGCAAGCAATTTGCTATTCCCATGAGGAAAAAAATGTATTATAATTAATATCTTTACATTTAACTGAATAAATTTCGGTGAATTTAATTTAAAGTTGAAAATTCAGATCTATAAATAACAACTATAGTTGGTATACCAATTATTGAGTTAAAATGACTCAGTAGCTTGCGCTACTAAATACCCTTCGGTTTTTTTCTACTCCTTATCCAAACCCATCTCCATTTCAATTAAAATTTATGCAATTTTTAATTTATATTTTTAATTAATTAAAAAACACTGAGAAACAATCACAACCTCCCTGTCCGGTATAAAAATTCATTAAAACTCTTTTTGCTTATGCGGCGAAAAAAAATGTTTTCAGCTTACATTAAACACCATCCTTCCTGTTCCCTCTTTTTTGGTCGTCGCTGTACGCGTGACAACGTCGCCCGCTTATTACCTTCCCCCTTACCCAGTCCCTGCCACGCCCATTTTTTTCCCAACGCAGAATTTAAAATATAAATAAAAACAAGAAAAAATGCTAAGGACGAGTCCTTCGACTACGGGTTACTTGTTATTTGCAGACATGTTAAAAGAAAAGTTGAAAATCAAAAAATCATTACGTGTTTGTCCAAAAAACAGATTAAAAATTTAAAAAATAAAAAAAAAAGATAACAAAAATTTATTGAAACATAATGATTTTATGAGGATTTTTCGAATTTAAACTCAGTCCGCCAAAAATTTTCAATAAAAACAAAATTTTTCGTGACAAACTGCCTACGAGATGTCAGAGATTTTTATCCTGGAGAAGAATTTGTACACTTTATAAGAGGCGGTTAATTTTAGATGATGTATACTTTTGGAAAAATATAATATACCCTTTTCGAGGAGCTCAACAAGGCATTGCAAACATTTCTCGCTTATGCAGCGGCCGGACCACCTGCAAACCGGACAGTTGCCATTGGGCGGATACCAACCCCCAAAAGAATCAGATTCCGGACACATATGAAAAAAAATATAAAAAACGAGAAATGAGTACATATACATACATACATATGCACGCCCCCTGCAAACAAGGTTGTCAGTGGGAGGGGCGTGGAAGAATAATAACAACAGGGCTGTGAAAAAAAATCCGAAAAAATTGTGACTGTGGGTTGGGTTGCGAATGGGCAAGAGATTGGGAAGACAGGGGGATGGGGATAGGGATGGAGAAGGGGTTGTAAAAATTATATTAAAAATGCAGTGTCCGAAAAGGGCGTACCACAACCATACACACATGCAAATGCTCAAACACACGCTGACACAAAAAAAAAAAATAAATAAAGAACCACACGTGGCAGCAAAAAAACGTAATAATAAAACTGAAGTTTTTACTGGATTGGGCCTGCTCCATAGCGTTGAAATCCACCTCTGGATATATGGCATCCATACATATACATATATGTACATTCGAGTATTATTTACATATTAAAATATGTTTGGGGCCCAACAAGCTGCAGAAGTACAAACTGTCCTGTTTCGAAAAAATATGCGTTTTTATTTTGGGGCCGCAAAAGTGGAATGCAATGTAAACAACCCAAATGAGATCACAAATAGCCGAACAAAACTTTTTGCACCGTTATACCGTGGACTGAAATAATTTTGGGTTGCTAGTAATACCATTATTTGAACACAAATTTATAATCAAGTTATATATTTTCAATGTATTTATAAATACTTAAAAAGAAAACAGATTTTTAATTATGTTTTTTCAATCCAATGGACCACTGTTCAATGGTTATGCGAATCGAAAAAATATGAAAATCTCTAGCCTTGATAAACCCCAACGATAACGTTTTCTCACACCTTAAAAAAATGTTAGATTGAAAAAAATTGAAGCATACAAAACAGGGTTAACCGGGACCATCAAAAGTGCCAAATGGAATAGATAAGCCAGAGAGAACGAGCTAGCGAATGATTGCATAAATATAATATGATTGCAAACAAAAACATTTTTCATTCCTTTGTGACGGTCGCCCACGGCCACACACCCTTTTTTTATAATTTTCGATCCCCTTCCATGCATATCTGATGGTTATATGATAGGGGAGCTTAATCCTAACAAGTTATTAGTAATAACCATATCCTAGTTAATGTACAAAAACTCTACATACTGCCTTTTCTGTATTATAAAAATAAAATAAAATTAAATAACATTGGCGTAGGTTTGATCGGTTTAAAGCTGGGACCAAGAATAGTGGCATTGTTTTTAATATTCCTGATAAAGAAATAATTTTTTTAATAATCTTCAAATAAAAGATTAAAATCGTGGTTCAAAAAAGTCTTAAGTAGAACTATCATTACCTTCCCATTATGTCATCGCACTTACTACAATAGTTACCCTTCAAGTGACCACCGATTGGAACTTGACTTGACAAATCCATCCAGGCAGGTCTTTTAAACCAGAAACCGCCAGGTACTTCAGCCTGGCGAAGCATTAAAATGTCTGGACATGTCGGAGGGGCTAACTGAATGGGTGGAAGGGCGCAGGAGTGGTCAACAATGGTCCTTGGAGATGCCACGAAAAAAGTCAACGCTTGACATTAAACAGCGACAACATTTTCACTTTGCATGCAGAATGCCGACACAAAGGGCCCCGGGATGGACTAGCGGAGGCGTCTCATAAAGCAACTGACAACCGCATTGGGCCCTAGTCCCGTTTCCAGGAACCGGGATCCAGGATTGCCAACAGGCCGCGCTAAAACGTCAGCCAGACAGCGGCGGCGATGGCGGAAATAGAGCAAAAGTTGAAAACAAAAACAAAAACGATGAGCGAAATGGAAAAAAATGGCACACAAGCTACTTGAGCTTGAACCGGCGACGCTTTTCAAATTCCCCACCTCCGTCACCAATCCCATTTCTAGTATTTTTTCCGCGACCAGGCATGCGGCTGACGGGTTAAGGCGGGACAGTTGACCATGACGCTTGGCCAGGGTAGAAGGGATGTGGACTCGTGCTTTCCTTTCATTGTACGCTGGAATGATTCTGGCCCAACCAACTAGCCATCCACCCTCCACTCGAAATCCAACTACCAGTTCCTGTCCGGCTCCTAACCCCCCGTGTAATGGCAATGATTTCGACGTCTGTTTAGTTGGCCCTTTGCTCGGCTTCAACGCAAAAGGATAATGGCCATCTGCAGACAGGAGTTGCGAGGATTCGAGGACTCCTCTGCCAGGAGATGCGTTTCATGGTGCGTTTGTTTGACAGCAGCGGAAACGTCTTTTAGTCAGTGCCTCGTGGCAATGAAAACTGATAGGTAGCGAGATATCATTTGGGAATGGGTTATTCCCATCCAAAAAATCGATGGTCACTATTATAAGAATAGGGATATTTATGGCATTTGATTTAATGGCTCTTACAAACGTAAAATTAGAAAAAAATTCTTTTTTGATTACAAAAAATGTACAGAGAAATAATTTAGTAGATTCGAATTGAGATAGTGGTTTTAAAGGTTAAAAAATTTTCCTTTACATTTATTTAAATTATAAAAAAGCAAAAAACAAAATGTTTTTTTTTTTTTTAATATTTTGCCTGGCACTTAAGATCCTTTTAAAAGAAGAGTAAGAAAGAAGTCGCATTCGTGGGGAGTCTTAATACATTTTTCATTTTCCGCTCTTTGCCATCCCAGCACATGAACATCTCGTGGCCCATTTGCTTATGCCTTTTGCCATTGTTTGCGCTACACTTCAACGCACTTTCGTCATTGATCCGGAGAGTCGGTTCTCCTGCTGGTGTAAAACAGTACGGACCCCAAACTGGCCTTCAATCCAAACCTCGTGGATTTCCCCCTTTTTTTTCTTCATTTTTATTGAATTTTGCTTCACCATGCTATATGCAGCCCGCCCTCCCCCAACAACAACTGACCAGATCCAGCGGAATAACCCGCTCGCCCGCCGGAGTGTGCTGCATTATGCCGGGACATACGTTTTGAAATTCCATTCCTGCGTAGGATTTTTTTCAGCCATTACTCAAATCTGTGTGTTTGTATGAGTGGGAGAGTGGAAGGTTGGGGGAAGGTGGCACGTATGTTGCCCGGTTGCCACGTACGGGGGCTACGGCGCTAAGCTTTGACTTGGGATTTGCATTTTTTACGCGCCGAGGACCAACTCCGCCCCATTCACTTGTTTTCGTTGAAGGGCTGGATCGGTGGAGCGAGGAATGGCTTCCACTTCTGCTGATGTCGTGATTTTTTTTCGTACCCTGTGAAAAACAAGGCCGTGATAATCGAATGGTATTCAACTTTATATTCACAAATGAGTTAATTATTTGCGATGACATTTTCTGTGGTTTTTAGGGAACTTTGGATTTTTGTAATATTAAATGTTGTAATCTTAGCAGAGAGTTTTTAATTTGGGTAATGTACTAACAGGTATCCCGTGGTTGAGAGTTTAAAAATCTCTCTATTGTTGAAATTTTTTCCGGCTAGTCCTTCTTTTTTCCATAATTCCCTTCTCCCGTATCCCTCGCATGTTTCTTTCATTCGCTGTGTCCTGTTTTGGGATAAAAATCCATTTCATCATCAGGGTTTCCTCTGTTCGCTGCCTTCCTGCTGATGCTGCTTTGTCTGATCGCGTTGAAATTGTAATGAGATTTTCTGTTTTGGGTCGATGTTGTATGTATATTTTTTGAGGAGTTGGCGGAAATTTTCCGGTAATATGCTTTCTGGGGCCAGGAGCTTGTCTATTTAATTTATAAAATTTATCTGCGCCTCGCATCGGTGGGTAGCTTTATATTTTCTGCAAACCATTCTACTGCCCACGATTTGCGGTTGTCAAGTTATATAACAGCGCTCATTCATTTTTTTAAAGGAAGTTTGGGAGTGAGACTGTGGTCTTTTCCTAACGGATAAGTATCCGTATCCTTTCTGTCCCGTTTTTGGTTAAAATTGTTTTTTTTTTTCGCTATTTACCCTCTTCCGTGTGAGTTAATAATACGTAGATTTGATGGGTTCCCTTTGAGAGCCATACTCTATTTGTTTTTCCATTTATAAGCAAGGTTTAGGATAGGCAATCTCATATAGATATATTTACTACATTTTTATCTAATAGAAATATTTTATTACACAATCAACGAGTACGAAAAAGACAGTTCAATAATACAAGACTTAGCTCTAAAATTATTATAATATTGAGTTGAAGAACCGAATATCGTAACTTCTTTGATCCCTTATAAAATTATATCGGAATTAAAAGTTATCCCCACCTTTTCCCCTATCTAATGGATTATGATATAAAAAAGAGACGAAACTCGGTTTGCTATCTCTGCTCTTTCGCAGCTCTCTCAAAACAATACACAATTTCCAATTAAGCGACAGTTTGTCCACTTCTCCACCGACCACCGACTACGGATATATGTATGTATTCCCGCGCATCTATAGACAGTCTAAC